AGAAAACATATATATATAGATGTAGACATTTTTGCCTGTAAAGAATTCTTCCTGCAGTCAGCATCCATAATAACAATATATTTTTTCAAGTCCTAAAAGTCTCTGGTTTCAGTTTTGTATTTATTTTAAGGATCTCCTGCTTTAAAATATGAAACCCCTTGTTTAGACTAGATTATTTAAGAACCTGGATTCAGGTAGTAAACTGACATTATGCTTTTTGTAAGTTTAAACCAGAGAAATTAAAATTAATCTTTGGTGTTGTTGTGATGTTGTTGTCTTCTATTGTCTATTTTTCCATTGGAGTAATTTTCCAGCGGATTGGCCACCATGTGGAAATGGTTCAAATTCTTTCCTGTTTTCAACCCATCTGCTTTATCAAGGATTGGCAACTTCAATCTGCAATGTTTTTTTTTTAAAAAAGGTTACAGGAAATTTCACATTTAGATGCTTTAGATAAAGGCAGTCCTCAACTGGCGATCCAAAATCTCCATTGCTAAGCTAAGCTGAGTTTTGTCCCATTTTACAACCTTCCTTGCCACAGTCGTTAAGCGAATCACCGCAGTTGTTAAGCAAATCATGTGCTGGTTAAGTGAACCTGGCTTCCTCCATTGACTTTGCTTGTCATGAGGTCGCTAAAGGGGATCACATGATCCCGGGACACTGAAACCATCGTAAATGTGAGTCGGTTGCCATGCACCCAAATTCTGATCACGGGGATGCTGCAATGGACGTAAGTGTGAGAACCAGCCATAAGTCACTTTTGTCAGTGCATTTTAACTTTGAACGGTCACTAAACAGATCGTTGGAAATCCAGGACAACCTATATAGATGACCTCCAAGGTCCCTTCCAACTTTACTACTATTACTATTACTATATCACTTTCCAAATGTGATTTTTTTAAAAAAAACATGATGACTGAGATCCTTTTACATATTGATTAGGCTTAAAATAATATGAAAAATACAAACCAGTTGCTAAGTGTCTGAATTTTGATCATGTGACCACGAGGATCCTATAATGGATTTAAGTGTGAAAAATGGTCATAATTACTTTTTCACTGCTGTTGTAACAGTCGCTATAAAAACTGTTGTAAATCAAAGATTTCCTGTAGCTCTAATCTCCCTTTCTTTCTTTATACGTTTTTTTTAAGTTTTACAAAGAGCATAAAAACTAACTAATAAAGAGCAAAAGCGGGAAAGAAAAAATGGAAGAAGAAAGAAAACAGAAGTGCAGTAAGAAAAACGATTTTTTATTTCCTTTTGCAGAAAATATAACCACAGCGACAAAATTATCTTTTTCTATTATCAGGGTTTTTTTCTTATCATCAAAAATACTTAGAATTGCAAGCGCATTTGTTTATTTCCATTGCATGTAAAATATATATATATATATATATGTGTTTCCAGTCAGCCAAAAATGCAGATATTGTCTTGTTTCTCAAATCAAACATATTCATTTGGCAAGTTCCATTATCTTCTCTAATCCTTGCTGAAAGTAATACTGAATCTTTCCATCCCTGTGCAATTATAATCTCAATGCAATTATTGTATATAAGAACAAAATTCCATTAATTTTGTTTGTACATAAATCTCCACCAAAAAGTCTCTAGTTTCAATTGCAATTAACTTTTAAAACTGCCTGAATTAATGCATGTAAAGTCGCCCAGCCAGCTCTCTTGTCAAGGCGGGACTAGAACTCACCCTCGCCTGACGATTGGCCTAAAGTCATAGAATCAGCTTTTGTCCTTGGGTGGAACTAGAACTCACTATCTCCTGGTGATTGGCTGAAAGTCACCCAGACGGCTATCATGTGAAAGGCAGGACTAGAACTCACCGTCTCCTGGTGATTGGCCCAAAGTCTTTGTTTATTTAGTTGTATCCGACCTTTATTATTATTACCAATAACGTGGTAGCAAACATATCCACCAAACCTTTCTCCTCCTATTTTCCCCTCAACAACAACCTTGTGAAGTGGGTTGGGCTGAGAAAGAGGGACCGGTCCAATGTCACCCAGCCAGCTTTCACGCCTAAGGCAGAACTAGAACTCACTGACTCCTGGTGATTGGTCCACAGTCACCCAGCTGGCTTTCATGCCTAAAATGGGACCAGAACTCACTGTCTCCTGGTGATTGGCCGAAAGTCAGCTTTTGTGCCTACGGCGGAACTAGAACTCACCGTCCCCTGGTGATTGGCCCAAAGTCACCCAGTCTTCCTCCCTTCCTTGAGAGACCTGGTCAAAAAAGAACAGGAAGAAAACCACAGAAAGCCTTGGTAAACTTTAGTAAAACTGAAAGGCAAGTTCTGATAACTCTTCTTTTGTTGATATGCTGAGGGTTTCCTGTATTTATCAAGTTGCGAGTTTGTTTGCTGGTTAAACTCTGATTCAGCACATTCCTTCCTGCTTTCTTTTATCGGTTGGTGCATGTCTTTCTCTTTTACCTTAATCTTCAAGGAAACCATAATAGCCTTCTGCAGAACAAATATTATGCTTATCAGGGTTACCAGAGAGATGGTAGTTGGTTGAGAAATAAGTCCACACACAAACAAATATGTATGTATGTATGTATGTATGTCTCTCAGCCCTGAAGATGTTGGGGAGTTTTCCCAGCGAAAGCTTGGCAACCTTTTAATATAGTAAAATACTTTAATTAAAGTATTTTAACTTTAAACTCTCCTGGTGAACGTGCTTTATTCATTCCATTTATGTATATGTGTGTGTGTATATATATATATATATATATATATATATATATATATATATATATATGTATATATATATATATATGTATATGTATGTGTATATATATGTATGTATGAATATATATATATATTCTGAGGTTTTCATGAGTGTTTGTATGTAGGTCTTTGGTTATTCGGGTTTTCTCCCGCGTAAAATTGGAAGTGTCTTGGCAACATTTTGATGAAGTCCCATTCGTCATCTTCAGGCTGGTGTTTTCGGCTTCGTACTTCGAGGAGCAATTCATCCTCGAAGCACGAAACTGAAAACACCAGTCTGAAGATGATGAATGGGACTTTGTTGATATATATATATATATGTATGTATGTATATATGAATATATGTATATATATATATATATATATATGTATGTATATATGAATATATGTATATGTATTTATATATATATGTGTGTGTGTGTGTGTGTGTGTGTGTGTGTGTGTGTGTGTGTTTTCTGAGGTTTTCGCGGGTATTTGTATGTAGGTCTTTGGTTGTTCGGGTTTTCTCCCGCGTAAAATTGGAAGTGTCTTGGTGACGTTTCGATGAAGTCCCATTCGTTATCTTCAGGCTGGTGCTTTCAGCTTCGTGCTTTGAGCAGCAAAGCTTTGAGCAGCTGCTCAAAGCACGAAGCTGAAAGCACCAGCCTGAAGATGACGAATGGGACTTCGTCGAAACGTCGCCAAGACACTTCCAATTTTACGCGGGAGAAAACCCGAACAATCAAAGACCTACATATATATATATATATATATATATATAAATATATATATATATATATATATATATATAAAATCAGAGTTCTCACTTGCAGCATAGAGCAAGGCGCAATTTATCCTCCTTTGGAGAAGACGCTGATCCTGGGGAAGGTGGAAGGAAAGAGGACAACTAGGTGGATGGACTCACAGTGGTGATGGCTGCACCCCTGTAGGAAGATCTCAAGGACCAAGCTGGGTCCAGATAATCCTCAAGAAGATATGTCTATGTCAGGGGTCTCCACATTTTAAGACTTGTGAAGTTCAATTCCCAGAATGCCTCAGCCAGTATATTTGGAGACCCCTTGGTCTATGTGGTCAATCAGAGTTGACCTTGATTTGAAGGCAATCAGTTAATGTGGAGATCTTTCTGTTTTGAGAAATGTACAATTGTGGGAACACTGGAGAGAAAGAGAAGCAGAGGTTGACGAAAAGCAAGTTAGGAGGGCCTCCGTGTACCATAGAGAGAGAGAGGGGGAGGGAAGGAAGGAAGGAAGGAAAAGGGCAAGGGAAGGAATGAAGGAATTAAGGAAGGAAGGAAGGAAGGAAGGAAGGAAGGAAGGAAGGAAGGAAGAGTGGTTTATTAAATCCTTTATGTCAAAAAGAGTGGGTGACTATTTTTCCAAGCCAAACCAGCGATCAATGCCAGACCAGATCCATCAATGGCAGCCATCTCTATGTTTCATTTCCCACTTTTATGGAGTTTTAACACCAAATTTCTTGCCCACAATCGGGACCTCGAGTCCTCCCGCTTTGGCGCCGACGGTGCGGAGACCGAAGCGAGGCAATTGAAACCCACCACTCAGGGCAGAAATTGAAATGGGACTTACAAAGGCATCTCGCAGATTTTGGATTCTCTTTGGCTGCTTAGTTTGGAGAACAAACTGGGGGGGCCTCGGACTTCCTTCCTTCCTTCCTTCCTTCCTTCCTTCCTTCCTTCCTTCCTTCCTTCCTTCCTTCCTTCCTTTTTCTCACTCTTTACTCCCCAGCATTCCCTTTGTATCTTTTCTTCTCCCTCTCCTTCCTTCTTCTCTCTCTTTTCTTCCATCCATTCTTTTTCTCCTTCATTCTTTCTCTCTCCTTCCTCTCCTTCCGCTCTCCCTCTCTCCCTCCCTCTTCCTTCCTTCCTTCCTTCCTTCCTTCCTTCCTTCCTTCCTTCCTTCCTTTTTCTCACTCTTTTCTCCCCAGCTCTCCCTTTTTATCTTTTCTTCTCTCCTTCCTTCTTTTCACTCTTTTCTTCCATCCATTCTTTTTCTCCTTCCTTCATCCTTTCTCTCTCCTTCCTCTCCTCCCGCTCTCCCTCCCTCTTTCTTTCTTCCTTCCTTCCTTCCTTCCCTCCTCCAGCCTCTCCCTTTCTCCTCCGCCCGATCGTTCCGCGCGGACCTCACCTGCCTCGTGGGACTCGCCCCCTCCCCCTGCCAGCCTCCCATTGGGCTTCCCATCCTCCGGCCCCGCCCCCTCCCCCTCCCCCCCGAACCTGGGAAAAAGGGACTCCCCGCCCCCTCCCTTCCCGACCCGCCCGTGGGAGACCCGCGGCTGGGCTCGCCCTCTTCCCGCCGCGCTGCTTCTTCCTCCACTGCGGATCCCCGGCGGCTCTGCCAGCTGCTGGCCAACGAAGCCGCGCAAGAGGCAGCTGGAAGCGTCCCTTGCCACTTGCCCTTCTGTTGCGACCCCCGACGCTATCCGGGACGCGCGATGCAAGCCCGCCGTCCTTTCGCACCCTAACCGCAATAATTCCGATTTTTCTGCCCGACAACTCTGCGGGGAAATCAGATTTTCGCCTTTCGTCTCGCCCGCGATGGATTCCACGTTCCTCCGGTTTTGGCTTTGTGCTGCTTTTTCCGGCTTTTTCCTGCCAGGGGTGAGTGAGGGGGTTTTTTTGGGGAGGGGGGGGTCTCTGCAAAGATGGTGGGGGGCTCCGAACTCAGCATTGCCCCCCCCCATCCTCCGTTTTATATTCCATTTATTTCGTTTATTAAATTGCTACGCTGTCATTTCTCGCTATGCCTGTTTGTTTGTTTGTTTGCTTATTTGTTTACTTATTTTAATTTTATGTATTTGTTTTATGTATTTATGATCTATGCCCTATAACTGGCTGTTTGTATGTACACTGTGAACTTATGCACAAGTTCCTTCTGTCCAATCACACATGGCCAATAAAGAATATTCTATTCTATTCTATTCTATTCTATTCTATTCTATTCTATTCTATTCTTATTCTATTCTATTCTATTCTATTCTATTCTATTCTATTCTATATTCTATATTCTATATTCTGTTCTTTAAATTAGCTTGCTTGCCTGCCACCCCGCCCCCCCCCAAAAAAAACTCTGGCTGCATGGCAACTTCCAATCTCCAAAGAGCCCATGTAAATAGACAGGCAAATATATAAAGATTCCCAATAAAATCACAATTAAAATTATGGCTTGTAACTAACCCTAAAAATCAGGCATTTAAGATGGAATTGGGTGTCTTCTGTTGGATGACTCTGTAAGGCACCTGGCACTTCCTACCTATAACATGTCACCTTGGTTATAAGGACTGTCCATCCCAGTGATCTTTTTGCATTAATGTCACATCTGGCTTCTGAGAGTATGTGTGTGTCTGTGTGTGTAGATACACACACACGCTCACTTATGTGTCAGATATTAGGCATCTCGGATCTCTCCTCTCTTCATCCAAATCAAGACCCACGTCCTTTGCTGTCTTTGCTGAATCAGAAAAAAGCACTCTGCACATGCTCCAAAAAAACACTCTGCACATGCTTGGGTGCTCACCTGGTTGCTCATTTCTCAGCACGATTGGTTGGAGGGGTTAAAACCTATGGCTGGTTCTGATTTGAAAGTCAGCTCAAAAGACTCTTGTGGATAAACTTGGGGTCCCCCCCCTTTTTTTTTTAAGTCTGGTTGAAAAAAAGTCTTCTGAGAGGGAAAAAAAAAAACCCCTCCCACAGGATTGTTGTAGATGCTAAAAATATTTTGGTTTTGTTTTTTTAATGCCTGGAGTCACTTACATGTGGCCACTTAAAATGATTTAACAAACAAAATAAATAAATAAATATACACTGTCCAGACTCCAGTGGGGTCGGGCAATCAATACATTTAAATTAATATTTACCCCACATTTATGAGATTCTGGGTCTGAGCTGCCCTTTCAGAGCCCTTAAACCCACATTTGTTGTTTAAACTTGACAAACCTAGTTAGTTCTAAATTCCATATTTCTGATCTTCAAGTTCAGCCACTGATTCGTTCTTTCTCCTTCTCAAATTGCTTAAAAGTCTGTTGAAGAGCTAAATTTTGGCTGGATGAGTTCAGAGCTGCCAAAATCAGCAGTTTCCTGCCTCCCCAAGGAATGGACTACAATACCCATCATCTTGCAGCGAGATGGGAATTATGGGGCTTGGTTTGGGGTTGTCAAATTGAGGGATGCAGTCCTTCATCTCTTCCGTTTTCTGCGACATGCATAATCCTTTGATTGTACTACAGATTGTCTTTCTAGAGTGTCATTTTCTTCCTAAAGAGAAAAATTGTAAAATATTATATTGCCCTAGGCTGAATGTTGCAAAAAAATTCTCCTTTTTCTGCACTGGTTTTTCTGCTTCCAGGCAAACCAAAAAAATGAACAACTTTGGTTAGATAAGAGTTTAGCTTGAGCGTACATCATTAAAAGAAAGTGGTACAAAAATAAAAAGCAGCCTGGAGAAATCCGGATTTAAACTTTCAGTAAGTCATGAAATTCCTTTTTGTGAGTCACAATTTCTCCATGGGTCTCGCAAAGATTGTTGTGAGGTTGAAATATTTGTGTGCAAATGGAGATCAGTAGATGGATGCCTTTCTAATTAATGTAAGAAATGCTTAAATAAATAGAATTATACCTATTGATTATATTTATGTATAATTATTTACAGCAAAGGGCCTTTGGTTGTATAAATATAAGGTGAAGAAACAACTAAACAAAAAAAAATTGCAAGAAGGATGCTTTTGTATATATTGTAAGGAATGCTTAAATAAATAAAATTGCATCTATTTAATAAATAGGTGTGTATTTATAAAAGCATAAAGTCTTTAATTTTATAAATGTAGGGTGAAAAACTGCTTAACTAAAGAAAAAAATGGCAAGATGCCTTTTATATTTGTGCAAGAATTGCTTCAGTAAATAAAAATTGCATCTATTTAATACATTTATGTTTAGTTAAAGTTCTTTGGTTATATAAATACAGTATACAAAACACTTAACTAGATAAAAATTGCAAGATGGTGTCCTTTTTACTCAAGTAAGAAATGCCTGAATAAATAAAATTGCACCTATGTAATAAATCTATGCGTATTTAAAAAGGCAAAAAAATGGCTTTATAAATATAGAGTGGAGAAACAACTAAAGAAAAAAAATGTAAGATGCTTTTGTATTGTAAGAAACAAATAAATAAAGTTTATCTATCTATGTGTATTGATAAAAGTAAAGATCCTTTGTTTTTATAAATATTGGGTGAAAAAATACTTAATTCAAGAAAAAAAATGGCAAAATATGCCTTTTTATTTACGTAAGAAATGCTTCAGTATATAAAATAATAAATCAATGTGTATTTATAAAACCAAAAGCTCTTTGGCGTCACAAATGTAGAGCATAAATGTTTCATAAATGCAGGGTATAAATATTTTATAAAAGAAGGGTGGAAGAAACGCTTAACTAAAGAAAAATATGCAATTAAATTCTCAATAAGCAATTTACAATATGGATCAAAGATTTGGGAGTAAAGAAAAACGCAGATAAATTCAAGTAGTCCTCGACTTATGACGACAATTGAGCCTGAAATTTCTGTTGCCAAATGAGACATTTGTTAAGTGAGTTTTGCCCCATTTTACGACTGGCTTCCTCACTGACTTTGCTTATCAGAAGTTTGCAAAAAGGGATCACGTGACCCCAGGACGCTGCGACGGTCATAAATATGAGTCAGTTGCCAAGCCCCTGAATTTTGGGGATGCTGCAAAGGTCGTAAGTGTGAAAAACAGTCGTAAGTCACTTTTTTCACTGCCGTTGTAACTTTGAACAGTCACTAAACGAACTGTTGTAAATCAAAGACTGCCTATAGTCCAGCTTGACTGCAAGCATCTTCTTGTGCTGGGCCAGGTATTTCATAATTCCTTCCTGGCAGGCCAGCTGAGAATGATGGTGATTGTAGTCCCAGGTACTTGAAAGGTGCTAGGTTGATTGATTGTAGAAACAAGGAGTTATCTAATTAAAATAAAAGAGGGCTTCTCATCTTGGTTTATTCTATCATACCTGAGATTCCGTCTTACCTGGTCACTGGTCAGTGAATTTTGGAAGCTGACAATTGTGGATAGGAGGGCTGGTGGCCTCAGTCTGTTGTTATTCCTGTTCGTTGTTGCTATTGATAATTTTCTGCTTGTAGTTCTCAGCCACCCAAAATAGCATCTGTTGGTGCCCAATTTAGCATGAATTTCTCTGGTCTCCTTTAACTCTTTCTAAATCATAGCTGTCAACACATCCAGAGGCAGCCAACAACGCTGCTGAAATACACACCTTGCTTTAAAAAAGAAAAAGAAAAAAGTTCTCTCTCTTTTTTGAACCTGAGTGATAACAGACACGACCCCCCAAAAATTCTGAGGGAAGAATTTGAACGGGGGGAGAAAACCCCTCTACATGTGTATAATGGATGAGACTATAATGAATGCCTCTGTTAAATCTTCTCACAGTACGGTAAGAAAAATTACAGAGACTGTTGCATTAACTTCTAGGCTTTTGCCCCAAATTCTTTGGATTTTCTGGATTCTTTTGCACAGTTTTTTGCTCCAGATGAAGGGGGGGGGGACAGAGAGAAAGAGAGAGAGAGAGAGAGAGAGAGAGAGAGAGAGAGAGAGAGAGAGAGAGAGAGAGAGAGAGAGAGAGAGAGAGAGAGAGAGAGAGAGAGAGATGATGGATGGACAGACACAGAATATTAGAGCGAGAGAGATGAAATTGGATGGATGGGTGGGTGGATGGATAGATAGATAGATAGATAAGACAGACAGACAGACAGATGAATATAGTTACAGAATATTAGCAAGAGAAATAAAAGATTAGATAAATTGTATATAGAGAGAGCATAAAGGCAGGGTATTAGAGAGAAAATAGGCAAAAGATTAGATAGATGGTGGATGGATAGATAGACAGACAGACAGACACAGAATATTAGGAGAGAGGTGAGAGAAAATTGGATAGATAGATAGATAGATAGATAGATAAGACAGACAGACAGACAGATAAATAGAATACAGAATATTAACAAGAGAGATAGAAGATTAGATAAATTGTATATATAGAGAGAATAAAGGCAGAGTATTAGAGAGAGAAAATAGGCAAAAGATTAGATAGATGATGGATGGATGGATGGATAGACATAGACAGATACATTATATTAGAGAGAGAGAGAGAGAGAGAATTGGATGGATGGATGGATGGATGGATGGAGGGATGGATGATTATCTTGGTATGTTAATTTTCACTTCTGAGAGATTCCAGATCCTGGAATTTGCCTCTTTTTTCTCTCTTCTACTCATAGCTGCTGGCCTTTGAATTGACCTTTTAATTTGGACATTCTCCTCATCAACGATCTGCCACTGTTGACCTTCTAGTAATTTTACCCTTTTCTCTAATCACTAACTTATCACTCCAAAAGCATACATCAAAAGCAAAGCGTTTTATTTTTTTTCTACGGGTCCTGGCCCTTCTGGCTGCCTTGCCAGTTTTAGTCATTTCCAAATGTCTTCTGTCTTTAAAAGAAACACAAGAAAGTCTAGTTGTCTCCTGAAAAAAGCAGCTTTGGGATAATCATTTCTAAGAAATTATCTCTCCTTCAATTT